GCCACAGGGGGAGGGGAGGGAGAGGGGGGGTTAGGGTGGAGGGGGGGGGAAAGGGGGAAAAACTTGTATTTGAAAAACTTTTTCAATGGGGAAGCCTGATTCACTTGACAACCGTGAGATTCACTTAACAACCGCAGTGAATTGCTTAACAGCCATGGCAAAAGGTTGTAAAATCACAGGCAATTCATTTAACAACTGCCTGCCTTAGCCACATAAATTGTGCTGCCATTGTTAGTTGTAAACTGAAGCCTCTCTTTACTAAGCCACAAACTATGGTTTACAAACCATTCTAGAAGCAAATCTAGATCTACCGCTTTATAGGACTACAGGTAGTCCTTGACTTACGACGGTTCACTTAGTGAACCGCTCAAAGTTACAACAGCACTGAAAAACAAGTGACTTAGGACCGTTTTCCACTTACGACCGTTGCAGCATCCCCAAGGTCAGGTGATTGAAGTCAGCTTGGCAACTGACTCATATTTATGACGGTTGCAGTATTCTGAGGCCATGTGATCCCCTTTTGTGACCTCCTGACAAGCAAAGTCAACGGGGAAGGCAGATTCATTTTAACAGTTGCGTATAAAATAACTTAACAATTGCAGTGATTCCCTTAACAACCATGGGAAGGAAGGTCGTAAAAAAGGGACAAAGCTCACTTAGCAAATTGTCTCACTTAGCAACAGAAATGTTGAGCTCAAATGTGATCGTAGGTCGAGGACTACCTGTATTACTGATTGAGCCACTGTAAAGTCAGGAAATGTTGGGTGCTTCTAGAGATGTTGCTCTAAATTAAGATGGCTTGTTTGTTTTGGGGTTATGTTGTTCGGTCCACTGTGGTTAGCAAATCATGGTTTAGGGCAAGGTGTACCACTTTCCCATTTTAACTTACCGCCTGGGGCAGCACTGCTTTCTGACAACTGATTAAATTGTAAGTTTGTCGTTTATAAATGCAATATTTATGCCCGGCTAGAAAGCTGTTTACAGATTAACACAGTTGGAAGGGACCTTGTGGGTCATCTAGTCCAACCCCCCACCCAAGCAGGAGACCCTACACCATTTCTGACAGATGGCAGTCCAGTCTCTTCTTGAAAGCTTCCAGGGATGAAGCTCCCACAACTTCTGAAGGCAACTTCTGTTCCATGGGTTGATTGTTCTCACTGTCAGAAAATTCCTCCTTATTTCCAGGTTGAATCTCTCCTTGGTCAGTTTCCATCCATTAGTCCTTGTCTGGACTTTGGGTGCTTTGGAGAATAGCTTAACCCTCCTCCTCCTATCTGTGACACCATTCTACAGGTGGTCCTCGGCTTACGACCACAATGGAGCCCAACATCTATGTTGCTAAGTGAGAAATTGGCTAAGCGATGTTTCGTCCCATTTTACGATCTTTCTTGCCACATTTACTTTACTTTACTTTACTTTTATTTGATTTGTTTACCGCCCTACTCCCGAAGGACTTAGGGCGGTGAACAGCCAACAATAAAATACATACATACAAAATTTAAAAAGCAGAAATAAAATCGAATTAAATAGTTTGGCCCAGACAGATTAAAACCCCAATCAATTTAAAACAAATTTAGACTTTGAGTATTAAAGATATTAAAAATATTAAAATATTAAAATTGTTTAAAAAGAGGGAGAAAGTTAGGCCAGGCCCGCCTGATGAAATAAAAAGGTCTTTAGAGCGCGGGGGAAATTCATTTGTCGAATGAATTGCTGTAGCTTTTAAATTAGTAACGCGGTCGTTAAATGAATCCGGCTTCCCCGTCGACTTTGCTTATCAGGACGTCGCAAAAGCGGATCACGTGACCCCCCCCCCGGACACTGCGGCCGTCACAAGTCTGGACCATTTGCCAAGCCTTGAAATATTGATCACGTGACCACGAGGCTGCTACCATGGTCGTAAGTGTGAAAAATGGTCACAAGTCGCTTTTTTCAGTGCTATTGTAACTTCGGACAGTGGCTAAGCGAATTGTTGTAAGTTGAGGACTACCTGTATTTGAATCCCTTTGCAAACCAGAGACACAAATCCATTTTTGAGTTGCACTTCACCCAAATTTATCCTTTTAAGGTACCCAAGAAACCCTCCAACAAGGAGTTGACTGACCATAGACCGGTGGCTCTGACATCCTTCGAAAGGTTAGTGTTGGCCCACTTGAAAGCCATCGCAAAAATCAAACCTTCGTTTCATTTTTCGTGAAGTATTACCGTGTTTCCCCGAAAATAAGACCCTGTCTTATATTTTTTTGAACCCCGAAATAAGCGCTTGGCCTTATTTTCGGGGAGGTCTTATTATTTTGGGGCGCGTGGAACAAGATGGGGCTCCTCTTGCCGTCTTACCTGATTTCCAGCTCTGCGTTTAAATATTTTCAAGGGCGGAGGCTTATTTTAGTGCATGCGCTCAAAAGCCTGATTGGGGTTATTATCAGGGGATGTCTTATTTTTGGGGAAACAGGGTAGTACCACTGACATGGACCAACATATCTTCTTAAGATGTTATTTCATGACAAGGAGCTTTAGTTTATTTTTAATGGCTTGGAAAGGCCACATTGGAATCTGGCATCCAGTTTTGGTCGACACGATGTAAAAAAGATGTGGAGACTCTGGAAAGAGCGCAGAGAAGAGCAACCAAGAGGATTAGGGGACTAAAACATAGGAAGAACGGTTGCAGGAATTGGGTAGGTCTAGTTTAATGAAGAGAGGGACTAGGGGAGACATGAGAGCAGTCTTCCAATATCTCAGGGGCTGCCACAAAGAAGAGGCAGTCAAGCTATTCTCCAAAGCACCTTCTGAAGGCAGGACAAGAAGCAATGGGTGGAAACTAATCAAGGAGAGAAGCAACTTAGAACTTCCTGACAGTGAGAACAATTAATAAGTGGAATGACTTGCCTTCAGAAGTTGTGAGTGCTCCATCCCTGGAGATTTTGAAGAAGAGATTGGACAGCCTTTTATCCAGAATGGTATAGTGTCCAGGGGGTTGGACTAGAAGACCTCCAAGGTCCCTTCCAACTCTGTTATTCTGTTAGTCGCTTGCATTAGACTCCCTATAAGAGGTAAGAAAGGAAAATCACAGCTTGATAATATTAAAAGAGTTACCATTTTAAGAGGAAGCTACTGAGAAGGGGCAGTGAATTTGGTTCAGGGTTCATTGCAGGTGAAGGCTGAAGTCCAAAAGTTCATCTGAAACAAAGATGCGAGGAGACACAAAGATTGAAATGTGACTAAAGCTAAAAATCTCCTACACACAGACACACACACACAGAGACACCAAACAGTTCTCCAAAACACACAAAAAAAGTGGGAACACGCTCTGTTATAAGGCAGCACAATGTGTTCCTGAGAAAATAGACAGTCAAAGTGAGATGTAGGCCTCCTCGGGGAACTTGCAGATTGATAGGTTTTTTTTCTTTGTTTTTTTTTTCCTCTTGTTTTACCCAGTTTTTGCAGCTCCATTTAAAAAGACAGTCTGGATTGGTCTGAGCCGGAATTTTTTTTTGTTGAAGCTAAAGTACACAGCTTGTAGGTAAGAAATACCTGTACTTCAAATTTAGTAGATGGGTTGCTGCATTTTGAATCTATCTATCTATCTATCTATCTATCTATCATCTATCTATCTATCTATCTATCTATCTATCTATCTATCTATCTATCTATCTATCATTTATCTATCTGTCTATCTATTATCTATCTATCTATCTATTATCTATCTATCTATCTATCATCCATGTATCTATGTATTATCCATCTATGTATGTATGTATATATGTATGTATGTATCTATCTACCTACCTATCCATCTATCATCCGTCTGTCTGTCCATCTATTTATCACCTATCATCTATTATCTATGTATCTATCATCCATGTATGTATGTATCTACCTACCTATCCATCTATCATCCGTTTCTGCCTGCCTGCCTGCCTGCCTGCCTGCCTGCCTATCTATCTATCTATCTATCTATCTATCTATCTATCTATCTATCTATCTATCTATCTATCTATCATCTATCTATCTATCTATCTATCTATCTATCTATCTATCTAACATCTATGTATCTATGTATCTATCATCTATCTATGTATCTATGTCTGTCTGTCTGTCTGTCTACCTATCTATCTACCTACCTACCTACCTATCTCCTGCCTTTATGATTTTTATAAATAATGCAATGTGGCACACATATATAACGCTCCTAGTTATTTTCCCCACAACAACCCTGTGAGGTAAGTTGGGCCGAGAGAGGGGGACTGGCCCAAGGTCACCCAGCCAGCTTTCATATCTAACACAGTGCTAGAACTCACAGTCTCCTGGTCATTGGCCCAAAGTCACCCAGTTGGCTTTTGTGCCTAAAGGAGAACTAGAACTCACTGCCTCCTGGTGATCAGCCCAAGGTCACTCAGCTGGCTTTCGTGCCTAAGGCAGAACTAGAACTCACTGCCTCAAGGTTCCTAGGCCAGCATGATGATGATGATGATGATAGGATTGCTATTTATAGTTTTTAAATCTGGGTTCAGTGAGTTTTATGGAACTTTCCTTTGCTGATTTGTAAACTTCCTCGAGTACAGGCGGTGCACACATTTCTGCACAGAGAAACACGTGCATTTAAAAAAAGGTTTATTCATTGTCTTTCTGATAGAAGCCCAGGCAGGCTTCCCCAACCTGGCGCCCTCCTGATCTGTTTGGAGGGCACCAGGTCAGGGAAAGCTGTCTCGCGGCGCCTTTACTCCCTTAAAATAAACTCGTTGGACCGAATGCATGAAAAATCCGACTTGGGATGAATTTTGGGTGAGCGAATTTATTTTTTAAAAAAATTAAAAAAAAGGAACCTAACTTCTATTCACTCAAGCAAAGTGGAAAGTCTCCCTGGCGCCTGCGCAGTGGAGAGGATGAAGCCATTCGGCTTGCCCGTCTCCGGCCGGAGTCAAGGGCGGGTCACACAGCAAGGCACGACTGAGAAAGGGGGCGGAGCGGTCTACATCCGGGAACCTTTCCCCTCCCCGCCGTGCGGTCTGTAAGTCTGAGTCGGCGGCGTCCTCGCGCCGAGCGCTGTAAAGCGGCATTGGAACGTTCGCGGCGCCTCAGTGCTCTTCCGCCGGCGCAGGAGGCTGGAGCATCTTCTGCAGGTAAGGAGTCCCTCCGGCGCCCCCTTCCCCGCTTTTCCTTTGGGGGGGCGGCGGCAGGACACGCTTCGCGCCCATCCCCGTTTGCTTCATTGCGGGCGGGCTTGCAAAAAACTGCAAAGGGAGCCTCGATTCCTTGCCCCAGACTTGCGAGAAAACGGGGTGAGTGGCGAATTTGGGGTGGGGAGGGGGCTCGAGAATCGGAATTGCTCATTGGACTGCAATGCCCATCATCCGCGGCTGGTGTTTTTTTTTTTTTCCCCTCTCACCCCCTCTTTTTCTTCCTCTGGATTGCATGACCTGGAGAAGAGGGTCAAATTTAGCAGGGTGTGTGTGTGTGGGGGGGGGGGTTCTTGCAGGGGAAGATGGGAGTTGTAGTCCCCTCTGGGTGAGGGGTGGTCCAAGATAGTGAAGATAGTTTTTTTTTTTATGGGAAGAAGCTGAAAAGAATCTGCTGCTCCTTCCTTTCTGTCTCCCCCCCCTCCCTTCAACCCCAAAAAGGGGGAGATCTGCCTTTGGGGGGGTAAGGGAATTTGGGGAGGGGGGGTCTGCTAGCAATTTGGGGCTGGCCTTGGCAACTCTATAGGGCAATTGCAAGAAAGGGGAGGGGGGCAGTCCAGCCTGGCGTTGGAAGGCAGATCTATGAGAAGATGCCCCCCCATCATGGACAGCTCTTAGACCCCCTTGAGCTGTCAAGGAGGGGTGACAGGAGGGGTGGGATTTGGCTCCAGGACTCCATAAATTAGATTCTTCCCCGTGACCCCATTGAGGGGAGGGGGCCCCCCTCTTCTCTTAGGAGAACAAGAAGTGGGGAGAAGAAGCCCCAGATCCCTCTTCTCTCGTCTAATCTTTGCTTCTTGGGGACATCTTTCCAAGTACACCTCATTTTGGGGGGAGGGGGTCCCTGGATCTTCTGGGGAGTTGGGGGCACCCGACGGATTCCCCTGATTGGGGGGGGGCAACCTTCCTTCTCTTTAATTGCATGGTTTTCTCAAGGGAGGGGGTGCCACCGTAGGATCACCGCATTGGCACCTGCTCGGTGAAATCCTGGATTTGCCTCTGGGATCCGGCTAGGAAAACCGTGTGTGTCTCTCTATAAGTGTGTGTGTGTGTGTGTGTGTCCGTCCGTCTTGTGTGTCCTTCATTCCAGAGCAGTGGGGTGCATCCTTCCAATCAGGTCTATTGGGTGGGTGGGTTTAAATCCCTGAAGCTGGAAAGGTGTGGATAGAAGGTATCTCTGCCTTTTATTTATTTATTATTTTTTTTGCAATGCACTGTTTTGTCAGCTGGGACATTTTGTAGGGCTGGGCTTCCTTGCCTGGGGGGTGGGTGGGAGGAAGAGAGGAAGGGAGGGAAGGAAGGGGGAAGGCAGCTCCCCACGGTACTGTCCTAATTTCTAATTCAGTCCTTGCTATTTGATTTGGCCGGTGTCCGAGCGTGTGCTGTCCGTTCAGCTCCGGTTTATATTGATCTGGCTTCTAGAGCGAGAAAGCAACTCAAAAGACAAATTATTCTCTCCTCCCCCACCCCCCCTGAATTCCAAGAGATCCCTGCTCTCTTCCTCTCCATCTGGGCTTCAAAAGCCACGAAGCAGACCACCCAGCTTCGCCTCTTTCAAAACCTGCGGAAGGAAAAAGCTTTCCCCTTGCAATTTTCCTGGCTTTGGGCAAAGGGAGGCAGACGCGAAGGATCCCTTGGGTGTCTGGACACCGAGGAGGCCAGGCGTTGGCGTGACAGAAAAGCATCTGCTTCTCTTGCAGGGAGGGGAGGGAAGGAAGGAAGGAAGAAGAAAGAGAGGAAAGAGAAAGAGAAGGAAGGAAAGAGAAAGAAAGAGAAAGAAGGAAAAAGAAAGAGAGAGGAAAGAGAAAAAGGGAAGGAAGGATAAAGAAAGAGAAAGAAAAAAGGAAGGAAGGATAAAGAAAGAGAAAGAGAAGGAAGGATGGAAGAAAAAAGAAAGAAAGAGAAGGAAGGATGGAAGGAAAAAGAAAGAGAGGAAAGAAAGAGAAGGAAGGAAGGAAAAAGAAAGGAAAGAGAAAGAAGGAAGGATAAAGAGAAAGAAAAAAAGGAATGAGGGAAGAATGAGAGGAAAGAGAGAAGGAAAAAGAAAAGCGAAAGAAAGAGAAGAAAAAAGAAGAAAGAATGAAGGAAGGAAAAAGAAAGAAAGGAAAGAGAAAGAAGGAAGGAAGGATAAAGAAAAAGGAAGGAAGGAAGGAAAAAGAGGAAAGAAGGAAGGAAGGAAAAAGAACGAGAGGAAAGAAAAAAGGAAGGAAGGAAAAAGAATGAGAGGAGAGAGAAAGAAGGAAGGAAGGAAAAAGAAAGGAAAGAAAAAAGGAAGGATAGAGAAAGAAAAAAGAAGGAATGAAAGAAAATGAACAAGAGGAAAGAGAAAGAGAAGGAAGGAAAAGAGAAAGAGAAGGAAGAAAAAGAAGGAAGAAAGGAGAAAGAGAAAGAGAAGGGAAGAAAAGAAGGAAGGAAAAATCCATAGGCTGAGCTGAGAGAGGGAATTTTAAAATTGCAGCTGGAGAAAAGCTTAGCAGAACAACTGGTTTTGTTCATGGGTGCTCCTAACTCCGGCTGGTGTGGTTCCCTCACTCCTTGAGTTGACTCCCTGCTTCTTCCTTGTGCAAATATCCAGCGTCCTGTCGCACTAGGGGTGTGTGTGTGTGTGTGTGTGTGTGTGTGGTGGTGTATAGATGGGTGAAAAGAACTCTTGGCAAGATTTGGCAATGGTGCGATGCCCTTCCTGCCTCTCCTTTCTTTTCATCTCCGAAATCGTGCAGAAACTGTGCTTAGCAACCCCGCAAGAACATCTCGGGGGTTGCCTCGTGCAGGATCCCTGCTAAATGCAGAAGAGAACTTTAGGATCCGATTTAAAAATAATAAAAAAAATGGGGACTTCTGTCGCTGCATTGCCAGACAACTCTCCTCCTTCATGTCCAGGTCTTCTGTTTGTTTTTCTGTTGCTTTCTCATTTATAAGGCTGTTCTCCAAACAGAAGGCTTTGAACAGCTCTGTCCGGGTACATTTATTTTATTTTTTTCTAAGGTTTTGCATGTCATGATTTACTTACTTGTTTGTTTATGCCGGAGCAAGTTTATTTATCTTTTCCAAGATGATCCCTTGGTGCATGTCGTTTATTTATTTATTGGCGGCATAATTATGCCAGAATATTACATTTCAGATAGTATTATCTTCCTTTCCTTCTTCTCTTCTCTTCTCTTCTCTTCTCTTCTCTTCTCTTCTCTTCTCTTCTCTTCTCTTCTCTTCCCTTCCCTTCCCTTCCCTTCCCTTCCCTTCCCTTCCCTTCCCTTCCTTTCTTTTCCCTTCCCTTCCCTTCCCTTCCCTTCCTTTCCCTTCCTTTCCCTTCCCTTTTCTTCCTTTCTTTTCCCTTCCCCTTCCCCTTCCTTTCGTTTCCCTTCCCCTTCCCTTTTCTTCCCTTCTTTTCCCTTCCTTTCTTTTCCCTTCCCTTCCCTTCCCTTTTCTTCCTTTCTTTTCCCTCCTCTCCTCTCCTCTCCTCTCCTCTCCTCTCCTCTCCTCTCCTCTCCTCTCCTAGTTGTCATCCCTGTAGGGAGTTCACCTCACACCCCTTTTTCCTGCCTCATTTATAGGATGTTTTTTCTGCACACATTGAGAACTGGATGTTTTGTTGAAATTAAACATTAATAAGCGGTATATGGAGTAGATGTGTAGCTCTTTTAACCGGGCCTGGCAAGTTAATTTTCAAACTTCTTCCCCGCCTCTGAACTGCTCCGTAAATTTACTTTTCTTCAGAAGAAAAGCTCATTTGAAGGGAGTATTGATAAAGTAAACTTCTGAGGAACTAGCGGTCCAGAGTAGCGGTGTTGTATCCCGGTGATAGGAAATCCTTGATATGTAGTCAATATAGGTAGTCCTCGACATACGATAGTTCATTTAGTGACCGTTCAAAGTGACGGCACCGAAATAGATGACTTATGACCGTTTTTCAAAGTTAAGCTCTTTACAGCATCCCCATGATCACGTGACTAAAATTGAGATGCTTGGCAACGGGTTCATACTTATGACCGTTGCTGTGTCCCCATGGGTCACGTCATTCCCCCTCTTTACGACCTTCCAATGAGCAAAGTCAATGAAGCCAGATTCACTTAACAACTCGGTGACTAACTTACCCAACCACGGTGATTCACTTAACAACGGTAGCAAAAAAAGGTTATATAAAAGGGGGAATTCACTTATCCATTTTCTCGCTTAGCAACAAACTTTGGGCTCGCTTGTGGTCGTAAATCGAGGAGACACTGCAGAATTTTCTAAGCTAAAGATCTTGCTTCTGCCCCAAAACTCATTAAAATGCTTCAGACAAGTGGCTTATTCCCAGTTAGGTGTAACCATAGATTCATCTGAATTTGATTGCAGGGATGGGCAATATTTTTATGACTGGACAAATATTTCATTTCACGGCAAGCAGGGAAGAACTGTATTGATGGCATGACACTGCCAGAATATTCTGCCTCAGCAGGGATCAATTCGAGGGGATGTTTTTTATTGTTGTTTTTTTTTTAAAAAAAGAAAGAATTCAGCTTATCGTAGTGCTTACACCACAGTTTTTATTATGTTCTTCTCTTTTAAAAACGGGGGAAATGCTCCTGCTGATTTTTGTCGGCCAAAGAGTAGTGCCAGGCTGCATTTCGTCCTACCCTTCTAGGCCTGTTCACTGGGAGATTATCCAGATATTTTAGGTTTCCGATCTCAGAATTTCCCCATAAGCACGAGGTGGTTGCAAAACATTGGAATTGTAGTGCAGGGAGTCCTCGACTTACGACCCACCACTGAGCCAAAAGTTCCTGCTTTGCTGAGCGAGACATTTGTTCCGTGAGCTTGGCCTCCCGTTACGACGATTGTTAAGTGAATCACGGCAGATGTTCAGTTAGCGACACGGCTGTTAAGCGAATCTGGCTTCCCACATTGGTTTTTGCCTGTCAGAAGGTCTCAAGAGAGGATCGCATGACACTTGCGACCGTCCTAAA